CCCAGTCTTTCCCTCCCAGCACTCCAGCACTCCCCGCCCCGGCCCCGGCCACGCCCCTAGCCCTTCCTTAACCCTTCCCCTGCTCCACCGCTGCTCACAGGCCCCAGGACACACCTGCCCTGCGGGCACCTGGAAGCCTGGCACCTGTGTGCTTGTCCCAGGACCACGGCCAAAGAGAAGCCTCGGCCTTGGGTTCAGTCCACCAAAGCCTGGACAAGGCTGCCCTTGGGCATTTGCTATCAAATTGCACGTCTCTTGCCCGTGACAGGATACAAACAACAGAGGGAGCCTCCATGGGGGGGACAGGCTCCAAACGCAAGTCTCCGTGGGTGTTCGGGAGAAGCGTGTACACCACGGGCTTTCCCACAGGACACTCAATGGACAGACACTGCCCTCCCTCGAGTGGCCACTACTGCTCCCCTCCGGAGGCCCGATCCCCCTGCTCAGGTAGAAAGGAGGCTGGGCGGGTGAGGGGCTCACCCTGTGGGCCAGCCTTGCCTCCTGGGCTGAGGCCCTGGATGCACCCTCACCTCACCTGGCAGACTGACCATTTGAGTAGCAGCAGACTAGAAGGGGACATCAGTCCGCTCCCGCCCTCCCCGCTGCCCTACTGTGCACGGAGAAAGGTCTAGGACCCGCCCGAGGCACCCATGCACCCACCCCTCCGCTGTCTGAATGCAGGGCCCCTCTTCCCAAGTAGGGACCCCCTAGGTGGGCACCCCTCCCTGCTCCCTCCCTGGGTATCAACACTGTTCTTTGCTTTCGCGAGACAGGCCCCTATGAATCCACGCGGGAGCGGGAGGAGCCCCAGCCCGAGGTGTTCTCTCGCTAACATGGCCCCTCAAAGGGCCGGTTGGAAGGGCAGCAATTGCCCTGGGAGGGGCTTCCTGCAACCCCTGGGGGAGCAGGGAGTCTGAATGTGTTGAAACAGAGACACAAAGGGTTTCCCGTTCCCCAGCCGCACCGGCTCTCCTAACCGGGACGCTCAGCGCTTAGCTTCATCTTGACCTTTATTAACCCGACCGACGGGATGGATTCATTTCCCCCTAATTGGCTCTAGGACTCTCCTCATTAGGAGACGAGCAGTTGGCATTTCTACAATCAGAGAAGTGACATTGGCCCCGAGACCACAGAATTACTCCTCTAATTAGGTTGCATCGATCAGAAGGGCCGTGTGGGCGCCCGTGTTAACGACGGATCAGAGGCGGCGGCAGCTTGGAGGCCCCTGTGCACGGGAGCAGGGTCCCGGAATGCAGGAGGAAGAGTCTGCAGAAGCGAGGGGAGGCCTGGCTGCACCCTTCCCGACACCAGCTGGGGTGGAGGAGGGGGCCTGGCAGTCGGAGGCATCAGAGAGGCGGGAGGGGGGTGCTTCTGGGGCGGGGAAAATGCATGGATCGCATCTCCAAGCTGCCTGGGAGCACCTGGCCCCAGGTGCCCACAGCCAGTCTCTGCCCACTGCCCCTCAGGACAGGGCTGGCCAGTCCCCTTGGCTGGAGTTCAAGGTCAGACAGGCCTTTTGGATATGAGTGAATGCCAGGCTCCCACACTGATGTCAGCATTCCCCAACCTAATCCATATCTATACCTGCACCCGCACCTGCACCCTCACCCGCACCCACACCTGCTCCTGCACCTGCTCCTGCTCCTGCACCTGCGCCTGCTCCTGCACCTGCTCCTGCTCCTGCTCCTGCTCCTGCTCCTGCTCCTGCTCCTGCTCCTGCTCCTGCTCCTGCTCCTGCTCCTGCTCCTGCTCCTGCTCCTGCTCCTGCTCCTGCTCCTGCTCCTGCTCCTGCTCCTGCTCCTGCTCCTGCTCCTGCTCCTGCTCCTGCTCCTGCTCCTGCTCCTGCTCCTGCTCCTGCTCCTGCTCCTGCTCCTGCTCCTGCTCCTGCTCCTGCTCCTGCTCCTGCTCCTGCTCCTGCTCCTGCTCCTGCTCCTGCTCCTGCTCCTGCTCCTGCTCCTGCTCCTGCTCCTGCTCCTGCTCCTGCTCCTGCTCCTGCTCCTGCTCCTGCTCCTGCTCCTGCTCCTGCTCCTGCTCCTGCTCCTGCTCCTGCTCCTGCTCCTGCTCCTGCTCCTGCTCCTGCTCCTGCTCCTGCTCCTGCTCCTGCTCCTGCTCCTGCTCCTGCTCCTGCTCCTGCTCCTGCTCCTGCTCCTGCTCCTGCTCCTGCTCCTGCTCCTGCTCCTGCTCCTGCTCCTGCTCCTGCTCCTGCTCCTGCTCCTGCTCCTGCTCCTGCTCCTGCTCCTGCTCCTGCTCCTGCTCCTGCTCCTGCTCCTGCTCCTGCTCCTGCTCCTGCTCCTGCTCCTGCTCCTGCTCCTGCTCCTGCTCCTGCTCCTGCTCCTGCTCCTGCTCCTGCTCCTGCTCCTGCTCCTGCTCCTGCTCCTGCTCCTGCTCCTGCTCCTGCTCCTGCTCCTGCTCCTGCTCCTGCTCCTGCTCCTGCTCCTGCTCCTGCTCCTGCTCCTGCTCCTGCTCCTGCTCCTGCTCCTGCTCCTGCTCCTGCTCCTGCTCCTGCTCCTGCTCCTGCTCCTGCTCCTGCTCCTGCTCCTGCTCCTGCTCCTGCTCCTGCTCCTGCTCCTGCTCCTGCTCCTGCTCCTGCTCCTGCTCCTGCTCCTGCTCCTGCTCCTGCTCCTGCTCCTGCTCCTGCTCCTGCTCCTGCTCCTGCTCCTGCTCCTGCTCCTGCTCCTGCTCCTGCTCCTGCTCCTGCTCCTGCTCCTGCTCCTGCTCCTGCTCCTGCTCCTGCTCCTGCTCCTGCTCCTGCTCCTGCTCCTGCTCCTGCTCCTGCTCCTGCTCCTGCTCCTGCTCCTGCTCCTGCTCCTGCTCCTGCTCCTGCTCCTGCTCCTGCTCCTGCTCCTGCTCCTGCTCCTGCTCCTGCTCCTGCTCCTGCTCCTGCTCCTGCTCCTGCTCCTGCTCCTGCTCCTGCTCCTGCTCCTGCTCCTGCTCCTGCTCCTGCTCCTGCTCCTGCTCCTGCTCCTGCTCCTGCTCCTGCTCCTGCTCCTGCTCCTGCTCCTGCTCCTGCTCCTGCTCCTGCTCCTGCTCCTGCTCCTGCTCCTGCTCCTGCTCCTGCTCCTGCTCCTGCTCCTGCTCCTGCTCCTGCTCCTGCTCCTGCTCCTGCTCCTGCTCCTGCTCCTGCTCCTGCTCCTGCTCCTGCTCCTGCTCCTGCTCCTGCTCCTGCTCCTGCTCCTGCTCCTGCTCCTGCTCCTGCTCCTGCTCCTGCTCCTGCTCCTGCTCCTGCTCCTGCTCCTGCTCCTGCTCCTGCTCCTGCTCCTGCTCCTGCTCCTGCTCCTGCTCCTGCTCCTGCTCCTGCTCCTGCTCCTGCTCCTGCTCCTGCTCCTGCTCCTGCTCCTGCACCTGCACCTGCACATGCACCTGCATCTGCACCTGCTCCTGCTCCTGCACCTGCTCCTGCACCTGCATCACCTCAGTCACCAGACATCTCCAAGGGTCTGAAGAGGGGGCATCTTGCAAAAGACCAGGTGCTGTGACCCTGGTTTGGTCTCCATGTTGCAAAGTGGGGTCTGGGCTGAAGCTGGACAGAGGGAAGTCAGCATCAGAGAGAATCTGTGGGATTCACCTCCGGACTCCACTTCTAACATGTGTACTTGAGGGCTGGTTCTAAATTTGTGATTTACAACTGGGTCATGTCAGAGATTTAAATACGGCTGCAGACAGCCCTGAAATGTTCCCAAGGACCTGAGATTCGGCAAATGATTACTTTATCAGACACACGGGAATTGTTTTATGCACTTGGGGGGATTCCTGCTATGATATCAGGCAATGAAAATGCTTAAAGAGAAAAGAAAACACATTTATAAGCATCATTTTAAAAGGTTCAAGGGGATTTGACGGCAGGCAGCAACGGAGCTGATTGTTTAATGGCATTTAGTCTGTGCAGCCGCGGTAATCGAACATTAATCAAAGAAAAGGGGGAGGTGAGTGTTATTCTATTAGATTTATAGCCATCGTCAGGCGATCTCTAGGTTTAACCTCAACGCCTACAGCAAATAGGTTTTGAAATGGGCCACTTCAATACACTGTATATAAATTTTTAAAAACTTGCCTTAAATAATCTTTTCTGTGAATAAAGGCCGCAGGCAAAAATCAAAACAACAACAACAACAAAAACAACAACCCCACAGACGAAGCTCCAGAAACAGAACACAAAACAAGAACCACACACCAGTCAGAGCTCACCCACAGCTCCACGTGGAGCCCGCGTGGCCCAGGTCCCTGGGGCTTCCTCCAGGGGTATTTACGGAGCATCCCAACCTCCCCGTCACTCCCAGGCACAGCAGGTCTCAGAGGCCCCGGGCAGGCGGCGGCCCCACACCGGCAGCAGGAACAGCCCCTGAGAGTCGGTGGGTGGACGGCGGCCCCGGAGGACTTCAGGCCACGGCCCTCCCGCCACCCCAAGTCACACCCCCTTTGACAGAGAGCAGGAGGGCACTGTGGGCCTCGTGTCCTCGCTGGGTCCCGGGTGGAGTCAGAGGGGACGGCGGAGGTGCCCGGTGCCGGGCGAGGTGCCATCCTGCGGACCCAGCACCTCCGGCCCCTGAACCAAGCTGCCCCCATGCCCCCCACCCAGGGGGACTCGGGTGCCCACATCTCCCTCTGCACCCCGACTTTCCACATCCGAAGAAGACGAACACACAAACAGCTCGGGGACCGGTCAAACGCCCAGGGCCAAAGGGACAAGCTTCTAGAATTCCCACCC